TTTTTTTTTTTTTGGTATTGGGGATCAAACTCCAGTCCTTGCTCTTACAAGGCAGGTGGTGGAACCACTGAGCTAAATCCCAGCCCCCTTTGCCTCTTTTTTATAACTAAGACTCCAGAGCCGTGATAGTACTGTGTAATAAAATTAACATTGAGCTCCCTAAGTTTAATAAAATTACATAAGAGCTCCATCACTCAAGCAGGTAAATTAGTGTAGAAATCTGAAAAACTATACTGAAGAGTCTTGATTTGAGCTATTTAAATGGCTTATTAATATTGTGAAAGTGCCTTAATATTTTATAGTTGCAAAAAAAAATTTATTGTGTAAAAATACATGGAATTTTAACCTTTTTCCCAATACATTTCTTTGTTAAATTTTGATTTCCATTTTCTTTATTTTTTTCTTCTGTTCATTCAGATGTATGTTACTTTATAAACTAGATATGTTCTCAATACACCTGTGAAATGTATCGTTGTAGACTGAGCCATTTCCCATTGAGTCCTGTCATGATTTCAGAAAATTCCTGTATGAGAAGGTATTTTGTTGATCTCAGTTTTTGGTAAGAAAGGCTCAGCAGCTGATAGACTCTACAAGGAGCAGCCAGCAGCTCCGAGCCTTGTAGCTGGCAGCCTAGTGCCACCCAGTCCCTAGTTGAGAGATTTTTTTTCTTGAAAGTGCAGCCGAAGCCTTAGCTCAGTGGCTTGTCTGCTACAGCCGAGATTAGAGGTGCTGACAGACTACCATAAGTGTTAGACAGTAATAGCAGCAGCTGCTTATAACTATGTGAACAGCTGGGGAATTAATTTGGAATGCATTCTCAGGAGCCATCCATCTGCTTCCAGACGTAGCAGAAGACTGCCCTTAGTGTGTGTCCTCCACAAGCATGTACCACATGTGCTCCCTGCATTTCAAATTCCATTGTAGAAATCTGATTATCTCATTCATACTATGATTTGTTTTGTATTTTACATGTCCTTTCTTTTCTGTAAAAAGTGACACAGAGACAACCACTTGATGCTTTTAAAAATCATGTCCATAAATAGCTGTGATTCTATAATGGCATTTTTTAGTTCTTTTTACAGTTATTTTAATAAATTTTATTTTATTTTCATTTTGGAAATATCCATACCCTGAGTAGAGATTTCATCTTGATTAGTTTATTATGTAACAGTTTTACCATTTCTCTCTAACATTTGCTTTATTAAGAAATAGTAAACATGCTGTTATTAATTGTGACTTTAAATTAGGGTGAGTGAACAAGTGAATAAAATCTTTTCCTTCTGGTCTTCAGTAGTGCTGTCTGTCTGTGCATCTAAGAATCTAGGGGCCTTCCGAAATAGAACTTGTTATGAGGACCAAAGTTGGGTTAGAATCCTTCTTCTGAAGACAGGATATTCACAGTATAATTCCTCTGTTGGATTGTGAGTCTGATGTTAAATATTTCCCAAAATTCTTTGAGGTATAGCAACCTGAGCGTCTCAGTTTAGAGAACCAGTTTGGTTCTTAGCAAAATAGTTTAAATCACTTTGATACAAGTTTTGTTTCATATATTTAGTCTTAAAATTTTAATTCTTTTACTATTTTGAGGTTGACAAACACTGACAAAAGTAAAAAAAATACAAGCATGTGTAAGAAAAGGCTCACTTTGAATGTAAGGGTCGGAGATAAAGCTCAGTGCTAGAGTGCTTGCCTAGCATGTATGAGTCCATGGGTCCAAACCTCAGTGCCCAGAAGAAATAAAGGAAAAGGGGGAAAAAGGGAAGGAGGTGGAAGGGAGAGAGGAGACTAGGGAGAGAAGGAAGAAGGAAGGGAGAAAGAAGAAGAGGGAGGGAGGAAGAGAGGGAGGGAAGAAAGAGAATGACATGTAACATCGTCTTATTGGTGAGGCTTGAGTTGATTTAAAGGCTGCTACTGTAGGAATTTTAGGGGACCATATTGACTACAGAAGTAGGAGGGTTAGAAGGCATGCCATTATCTTTTTTAGGCTTTTTTTCATCTTTTTTTTTTCCATATTGTGGATCAAACTCAGTACCTTGCTTGAAGCACAATGCCACTGAGCTTAATCCCCAGCCTGGCTTGTTTTTCGTTTTTAGAGATTTAAATGAACTAAATAAAGGAAAACCAAAACATAGTTGGTCAGTAGTAAATTAATTTAAATGGACTATACTGAACCTTTTACTGGTTAGTAGGCATTTCATAGTAGATTGAAGATTTAAACAATAAGTCAAAAATTGCCCTTAAGATTAGTCATTTGGGGGAATCAGATATGCAAACAAGGAAAAACATACTGGATATTTTTAATCTATCACAACAGGAATATTAAATGCGCACTGCCCTATATGAATAGGAAGATAAAGGAATAACTACTCAGATCTTCCTGATGAAGAGTCTGGAAGATTTTGACTGGAAAGGTGATCATTGATCTGAGTCATAATGAAAAAGATTTATCCAGATCAACTAGGTAATAGGGATGACTTTATATTTAGTAAGATTTCAGAGTGGGACAGCTTTGCATTCCAGGCACCTGTAAATGTATTTGAATGATTAGAACACATGGTATTATACAACAGATTTTATAGCAGAGGAAAAAGAATGTATGACTGAGGAGATTGAGAACTCATCACAAAGGATATTGAATACCATGATACATAGTTTGGATTTTCTGATACATGCAACAAGGAGTCGGTGAGGAATATTGAAAGTAGTATGCCTCTTGGAAGATAGATTCAATGTGGGGCTGTTCTCTGCAAGATGGGAAACAGTAAAGGAGAGCAGCTTGAGTGGGGAGATAGGCCAAGTAGGTGTATAAAAAGTGGCTGCTGTAGTTCGGTTTTGTAAACAGGTTCAGGTTGTGGTGCCACTTGGAAAGAGATTTGGAAATTTATTTCTGGAATTTAGGGCTGTGCTTTTGGACAGTACCTGTAATTCCTAGATCTGGGATTGGCTGGTACACCCTGTTGGGAGACTCGAGTTTGCCAAGATGACTATGAGTATCCCTGTAGTCGTACTTGCACTGTGTACTTTAGTAAGTTAGTAGAAAAATGAACTTTTGAAGTTTCTTCTCCCTCCTTTTACTTTCCCATTTAGTTATTAACCTGTTCACGCTGGCTTGAACCACTGGTGGTGTATGCGTGACTGTCCACGCTACCCAATGGGACAGCCAAGCATGTACCACTGGTGGTTCAGAGCTGCCTAGCAGCTAGATGTATGAATCAGGGCCCCTTTGTGAATGTGTTAAATGATGGTAATGGTCTTTTTTTATTCCTTTTTCTACTTCCGTATTTGGAAAAGTGCTGTTTTTTTTTTTTAAGAGATTAAACACATTTAATTTAAACTAATTTAAAAAATTAGTTTTCTAGTCGTACATCTTGATTGTGTGAGGGATATTTTTTTTCATGGATTTCGTGGAGCCAGGGACAGTTCATAAAAAACTTCTCCCTGAAAGCTTTCAGTTTTTTTCCACTTTTTTATTTCTATTGAGAATTTGGTGAGAGATTTTAATATTTTATTTTCTGTAGAGTGTGATCAGATTCATTATTGATCATGTCTGGGAAATATCTCAGGAATCTGTATAAAGCAAGTTTATCTCTAAACAATGTGTATTCTCAAAGACATTGTCACAGTGAGACAAGTGTGTTTAAAAGGTTGCTTTTAAAAACTGAATTAAATTTTCACATAATTGTGCAGACCTTATGAACTTTAAACTGTTTTCTAGAGATGATAAACTTGGGAAACTTCATTCATTTTTGACTTGTATAAATATTTGTTCAATTTGAAGGTGAAGAATGAAATAATGTTTAATGTTAAGACTTTGGTCTCGGTGTAAATTGATATTCAAAAAATTTTTCATGGGACAGTTACTCCTTTGCTTGATTATTTTCCTAATTCAGCATATCTAGAATGTCCAGAATTTGAAATGTTGTTACAGTCTATTAACATAAAGCCTTGGCGTATTCTTATTTTCATAAATGGGAATTCATCTGTATGTGCCAAGCTAAGTGTTCATTCATAATGTAACAGAAGTTGCCACAAATAGGAGTAGATGTCACAGTAGATGCAGAAAGTGAACAAAGCAGGCACAGCTGGTCAGTTATGTTTTATCTTTTTTTTTTTTTTTTTTTTTTGGTACTGGGGATTGAACTCAGGACCTTGCACTTGCAAGGCTGGTGGCAGCACCACTGAGCTAAATCCCTGGCCCAGTTATGTTTATCTTACCTGTTTTGTGTGTTTTTAAAAGATCTTGAATCTGATATATGAGCTTTTGTTTTGTCTTTGACAATTTAATAAATACTAGGCAAGAAACTGAAATCTGATTTTGACATTTAATTACACTTTAGTCATTTTTTAAAAAATAGTCTTTTCATTTTAGATTTGAAGATGGAGAAGTCACTGTCTTCTCTTATGTGGGCTTATGTTAAAATTGGAAACCAATCACTTTTCTTTATAAATTTGCTTTAATATAGTTAAACAAAATTAATACTAATTGTGATAGGTTATCATCTGGTTTGAATCACTACATTCCTAATAAAGTGTATTACTAAATAATTTTAAGAGAAATAATATCTATTCTAATAGAGTAGGAAACTTTATTCTACCTGCAATCCCATTCTGAATAAAAAGAAAAAAAAACATGTAGGTGCTAGAGTGAATTAATATTTATACACTGGTTATTTGAGCCTTCGTGTTTCTTGTTGTTTTTGTTTTTGTTGTTGTTGTTGTTGTTGGAGGTGGTGGTGGGGGTCAAACCCAGAGCCTTGTGACTGCTAAGCACATATTTTGTCAGTGAGCTTATACCCTCAGCATCTGACTCCTTGCTTTATGTTTCCTGTTTTATCATGGGAAAAAGAATTTTTAAAAATACAAAACTCCAAAGATATTTAAAATATAAGTATACTACTGTGTTATTTCTATTTATAATTTCTTTTGAAAAGCTGCTTGTAAAGTTTTAGTTCTTTAGCTAATTTGGGGGAGCAAGCAATAAAAATGTAGTCTTTGAAAAGCTCATAAATTAGATTTCAGTACTGAGAAAACAATTTAGAGTGATAAAAACAAAAAATACTATAGTTTGCTGAAGCAGTAATTTAATTTTTTCACTAGATCTTAACCATTCGTCCACTTTTAAGAGTTTGACATGGAAAAATTTTTACAATAGCATTTTTGTTTCTTGCCTGTCATTTCTGTGTGTTTTCCAAAATATTGTATTTTGATCGTTATGCTTATGTTTTGATAAAAGTCTTAGAGGTTTTTTATCTAAATTGATGTGTTTTACAGAATTTTCAACTGGTGACATAAATTTTCTTCTTTTTAGAGTTGATCTCTCTAACATATTAGATCTTCATGCCTTTGATAGTCTCTCTGGAGTAAGGTATGTTTTTTCAATATTGTGGTCATTTGTAATGTAATGTAGTTTTTTTATTCCACGGTCACAAGAATGATTTACACAAGTACAACCTTGATTTAAGTACTTTCTGTCATTCTGGTATGCAAGATCATTCTTAAGTATGTAGGGAAAGTTTTGTTAATTGTTCACTTATAAATCACGGTACATTTTTCCATAGAAATTATAGTGTAAATGATAGTTAATTTTAAAGTTACATTATTAATATTTCTATGCTAACCACTGTAATACTTTTCAATAGAAAAATGCATCAAATACATAGAAAATTTGACCTTGGGACACTCACACAAGCAACTTGTTATAGATTAGCTTTCTGCCTCTTCCTTGGGGAAATCTTTTTGATAAGGGAAGGAAGAGAGATCAGTTATTCCTGGACATCGGTGTCTTTTTGTTTTTTTGTTTTTTTTTAATTGTGGTAAAAACATGAGATCTACCCTCCTAACCAAGTTTTGAGTGTATAATACAGTATTGTTAACTATATGTATAATGTGTGACAGATCTCCATAGCTTACTGTAGAGATCTCTCTACTCTCTACTCACAAATAGAAATCTCTGTTTTCCCTCTCCCTGTGCCCTGACAACCTCTAGTCTTTGTTTCTGTGGGTTTCACTAATTACCCATTATGAGTGAATTATGCAGTATTTGTTCTTTGGTGACTGTTTTATTTCACTTAGCATAATGTCCTCAGGGTTCATCCATGTTGTTGCAAGAGGCAGGATTTCCTTCCCCCTTTCAAAGGCTGAGTGTTTTTCCCTTTAATCTAAGTGTACCACATTTACTGTATCCATTCATTAGTTGATGGATACAGTATTTAGATTGTTTCCACATTTGGGCTGTTGCAAGTAATGCTTACAATGAGTATCTTTTTAAGTCTCAAGTGTGTCTGCATAAGATCATAAAAATTGACACTTCTCTGACATTTTAAATTGGTAAGGCAGCTTAGTTTGCAGATAGGCATGGTGAATGGTTCTATACTTATGACTCCTAATGCCTGTGTGTACCTATAAGTAAACACAAATACATACGTAATTCTACTTAGCCATGCCTTTAAAACTAATTTTTCCCTCTAATTTTTCAAGACAGGGCATGATAGTGTTTTACTGAACCTCTTTACCCTTATAAATAAGAGAATTTAAACTCACATTTAGTATTTTTAAAAATTGCAGTTATTTTCATACCTGGAAGTGGAGGATAGGCAGAATGATTATCTCCTCCTTAATCTGAAACTTACCATTGTAGATGTCAGCCTAGAACTCATCATTCTGGAAGTCAGATCTTTAGTTGAGAGCTATTTATTTTACCCGTAGACTCTAGAATTGAACTTTGTAAGGTAACCACTTAACAGGTTAAAATTAAAAGGACATTCCTTGGGTACTTGAAAAAATCCACATTTGTCTTTCTAGTTCCACTTAGTAGAAAAGTAAAACATTTTGCTATACTTGAATTATAGATGATTTCTCTAATAAAAAATTCCTATATATTTCATATGGTCAGAGTGCCTACCTGTTGCTTTATTGGAGAAATATATCACATCATTTCAGGATGCTCCTGTACAAAGTTGTGAAATCTCTCTTTAACACCCTGAACCATTTTCTCTCGTGTCATCTTTAGGTCCCAATTTAATTTAAGCTTGATAATGATTGAATTCAAAATTACAGTGGTATACACACACACACACACACACACACACACACGCACACACAGATTTTGTATTCCTAATTTAGAAATGAAAACTTTACCCAATTAAAGGAATGTGACCCTAAACATAAACGTTGTCATTAAAAATGGTCTTTTCTCCTTTTTTAGTGCTGACTTTACTAGGGAGCTGTCTCCTAATTCTAGGAACATAAGAGCCTTTGTCCTGCTGTCTATTTATGAAATTACCACAAGTCCAAGCCGTTTCAGTCTGTGTGTTGCTGATCCTTTCTTCTAAATGTAGGACTACAGTATATTTCACTTGAGTAGTTAATTGCTGTTTCAGCATTTGACCATGTTCCCCTTTTCTCACCCTTCATATCTGGCTTAAAACTGTATTTCATTTGAGGCAATAGGTTGTTTTGGTGTTTACAGAACCTGTGGCACATTTAAATATGTTACATGAGTGGAAAATTAAATGATACTGCTTTAAGTTTGCTTTTCTTCAACTAATTTTTCTCTGTTGGGTCTAAGAGCTTTCAAATTGATTATCATTTAATATAAAACACTAAAATATTTCTTAGTTGAACTCTTTGTTTCTTTCCTTTATATATTTTTACTCTTTAATAGTTTATTAATGGGGAAGGTGAGAAATGATAGTGTAAAATCATTTTTCACTTTGATATTCAGGATATTTTTTTGTTTTTCCTTTCTACTTACCTGTTGTTGTGGGACAGATGCTTACTTTAAAGTATCTACTTCATATTTTTCTGTGGTTTTATGTGGGAAAAATGGAAAAGCTGCAAGTTTAATCTTGCTGTGAAAAGAACTAAATGACATTTACAAAACAGTAAACTATTCTAGATATATACATTTTTATTAGTGTAGAGACAAGAAATGGTTAACATACAAGTCAGTGTGCAAAATGGATATTCTGATTCATAAATTTTAGCTTTTGGTAACGTGTGCTTTCCTTGTTTTTAAGATAGACAACAAATTAAGGGCACAAAATTCTGAAACTTGCTAGGAGCTAAACATTTAGGTCATAGTTAAATTTTTTACCTTTTGCTTGGTTATGAATGTGTACATGGTCATTGTCCAACATTAAACATTAGCCATGTGGAAAAGGCATATGATTTTTCAGTGATTTTTTAAATCTCATTCTACACTTGATTAAGAGCACTTATAATGCTTTAGTGACACTTAAAGAAGTAGTTATTTAATGTGATCCCATCATACATAAGGCCTTTGCGTAACTTCTTTCTGCTTAGCTGCAAAACAGGAGACTCCTTTCCTGAGCAGCCAGCTGGGAAGGATTTAATTTGACACTTTCTCCAAGACCCCCCAATGAGACTCATTCCCTAGAACAGTTCCTACAGCCCCCTTCTCTTTCCTAAACTTGCTGTTACTAATTTATCCCTCACTGTTCTTGAAGGCAAAACATCTGCAAGGTTTTAAGCCCTGCTCCCCACCCCCACCAGTGTCTAAATGTGTGCTACAGTTGTTATGATTGTAATTTGTCACGCCGTATTGATCTTTTGGCTCTTTTCATTATCAAAACAGTACATTCTTGAGATTTTGACTATTTTCTCGTAACTGTTAACTGACCATAGAGAACGTTTGTATTTATGGATGGTTTATTTTTTAATAAGTAGATCTTCAAGGGAAAACTTAAATAAAGATTTATTCTTCTTTTTTTAGCTCCCAGCATTTTTATATTAGAAAGCATAGTGAAAATTGAGAAACTGTAAGCAGCATTAAAATGATTATGTATATTTATAAGCCTGTATTGACCTATTTGAATTGTAAAGTAATATACTGATACTTAGCCAAAAGAGTGTTGCTAAAAGATTAGCTTTTCTTTTTATTGTGCATATATTTATGTGTGTGCATTTTATTTTATTTATTTTATTTATTTTTGGTACCGGCAATCAAACTCGGGCTTTTGCACTTGCGAGGCAGGCAGTGGCACCTCTGAGCTACATCCCTGGCTAGATGTGTGTGCATTTTAAAGAAAAATTTTAAAAGGTTAATATATCAAAAGCTTTTCTCTTTTAGAACATAGAAATAATCTCTATTAGAATATGCAAAATCAGAAGTATGGAATAAATTCAGTTATGGAAAGTCTCTTTCCTGTTTGGTTTTGTGTCTCTGAGTAATGTGTAAGATTAAATACACTGGATTCATCACTGAACTTAATTGGTTGTTTTTAGTTTTCAGGAAAAACTTCAGTATGGGCTAGTAGCACAACCTCACCTTGATCAGGTAAAAAAACCATCTTAAACAGTGTCCTTAAAGTATGTCTTTCACTAAGTTGGCTGTGTTTAGGACTGTTTTATTAGTTCTCTTTCTAAAATGGACATTTTTGAACTGTGTTGATAATATTCAGAATGTTGAATACTTTGAAATCGTCTAACCCGAGTTCTTAACACATAATAGGAACTCATCAAACTACACATTTCTGAAGTGTTTAGATTCTTAGGAAATTGTGCTTCCCATTTCTCCTACAGGTTACTCAGCATATTCTGATCAGTCCTCATGATGGGAATTTCTACTTAAAAGCATCCTGAGGATTCTATCTACAGTCTGTTTTTAATTATATTGAAGTAACTGATTAAGGAAATGTCTGGTGTAAGCATGGCTTATTTAAATAAAAATTTATGGAGTTTCACCTTCAGGTAGCACTATGAATTTGAAACTCCAAGGTATTTTTCTTGCTTTAAAATTCTAATCCCTGCAGAAAATATTTAAGATGCTAGGAACAAACTATTATTTTCACCCATGTTTCTGTCAAGCAAGTCGTAGATGGTAGAGCGTTAGGATAACTCCTCTGTTATGTTTAAAACACAGTGAGAGGGAGGTGTGTGAGGGAGCAGTGTACCTTGTCTTCCATCCTCCCTCTAGCAGTGATCATGGAGTTCTTGAGTCATTGCCAGCTGTAGTAGGACCAAAATGGTAGCAGCCACTGGTTCATTTGTCTTCATTCTGGCTTATATATATGGAAAACTGTATTACCATGTATGTGGCACCTTTCTCTGAGAAACATCCTTATAGAATATTAATTATTTTTAAGAGTATGAAAAATTTATTGAGGGAAAGAAAGCTTCTATTTAAGAGAGAAGGGAGTAGAATATTCATTTGTCCAAAAAATAAGTGAATGACAGAAATACAAGTCTCTGGTGATACATTTTTGGGAAAAAAAAATAAAAATGAACTGGAGTTACATTCTTACTGAGTTTCTTGGTAAAGAAGATCATACTTAGCAGTCATAAGGGTTCAAACATGAAGAAAATAGAGTACTCACAATCTTCTAATGGCCCGTAAAAAGTTAATGAAATAAAAGACACATTGCCAAGAATGATAGGATAAGTGTGTCTGAAGCAAGGGGGAATATCGTGAGGGGTATTAATGATAATGTGTCTTTTACTATAACTTTTTTTTTTTTTTTTTTG